AAAATCCGCATATATGAAATTTAATTATTGATGTTTATTAATTTTGATGATCAACCGTTGTGACCAACCCCAATAAAATATCCAATAATTCATCTTGTACTCCCTTGTTATAAAACTCTTTTAGCTCATTGTGAAGTATCTTCATCAGATGATGAAATTTTAAAACAAATCAAACTGGTGCCTATAAAAACAACAGAAAAAATTGTAATTTATTGTTTACATAAATTGGCTTTATTCTTTGACCAAGGACAAGGCTCTGCATGAGCAGTTTGTGAGGAGCTTTATCAGGGATGAAGTAGTTGAAAATTTTGAAGCCAACTTGCTAATGATAAAATAGTGATGATGATGGCGATAGTTTACATAAAGAAGTTTATGTTATGACCTATTAAAAAAAAAGAAAAGATTTAATGTTGGTTTAGTAAATTTCATGACAATGATGATGGCAAAAGTGAAAAAAAAAAGAAATTGATCAATATTTGTCTTCAAAAATACAAAAGGAATTAAATGTAGACATTTTAGAATGGTGAAAAACTCATCAAGATGAATACCAAAACTATCAATATTATGTTCCTATTATTTATCAAATTGCAGCCAGTGAAAGGGAATTCAGTGCAGCTGGTTTAACAACAAATGAACTTTGATCAAATTAAATCCAAAATTTATTTTTTGTGCTGTGGTAGTGAGTTTGCTTTTATAATAAATATATATTTATTTTTTTTCCAAAGATACCATAAATTAAGTCAAATTAATGAGAATAATCATCCACTATATAATATACAATTTATTAATATTAAATTATTCAGAATCGCGGAAATACGTCGAGATCGGAAACCATTCTTGGCACTTTTTCTTAAACTCTTCTGCTATTGGAGATTCAAAGGTATTTTTAAGTGTTTCATAAACTAAAATAAAATTCTATTTTTTTTAAAAAAAATCAATTATTGAATTCGAAAATAAATTATTGATTCAAAAATAATAAATAAATTAATTTAAGACATACTTTCAACGTTCTATTATTTAAATATTCATCTTCATAAACTTTTAATAAAAGAGCTTCAGCTTCTTGTTTTTTCTCCGGATTTATAATTAACAATGATTCTACTCCTGCCAATAAATGTTCTATTGACCCTTTATTTTTTTCCAAAAATTCATTATTGAATTGAATTAATGAATCATTATTATCTGGTAATATTTTTGACCTTTCTGCTTCGATAACTTTAATTGTTGTTTCATGAATTTTTGTATTATTCGACACTATATACACACACAATTCGTGTTAGATATTTATTATATGATAATTTTAGATAATTTTAAATATTATATTTTTACCTTTTGAATTAAACAATACTATGTCCTTGTGTAAACAAGGATTTTCCTTATCAATATAATATGCTCGTATGAGAGATCTCAAGGCTAACAAGTATTTATCTATATAATAATTTTAAATGAATAAATATTAAATCTTCATAAATTAATTAGTCAAGTAATATATTTATAAAGGGAAAAAAACCTTTTCTTATATAAATTTCAAATGCCAATAAATGTGTCTCTATCCTTTTTTGTGACAATTCTTGTAATGGAACAAGGAGTTTGAAGGCGTCTTCTAAAGGATTTATAGTCTTTAAGAAATTTAAGTAAGAATAACAATACTAAATTGATAAACAGTTTAATCAAATAAGTAGACAAAACCTTAACAAGCTTTTCACCCTCTGGATCATCATCTTGTGGTTTCTCTATCCTCTTTTTTGTTTGTTCTTCTTTTGCCGGTGCTAAAATCATAATGATTAATTAAGTTTTCACATAACAATAGTAGTATTAATATATACATATATTTTTAATTGAAAGATAACCAACCCTTTTTTGCTTCAGCTTCCTTTTGTGCTTTTATTGCGGCTTTTTTGGCCTTGTTTTTGGCCTTTTTGATTTCATTTTCAGTCATATTAGCTGTTTTTATTTTTTAGAAAAAAATGTTTATTTTTTAAGATAATAAAAAAATTTAAAATATTATTATAATATATATAATTTTAACAATAAAAACATACCATAATCAAGATTATTGTCACTAGGAGAGACAATGTTTGGATTATCATATAATTTAAGATATATCTAAATATTTCATATATGATAAAAAAATTTTTTTATAAAATATTAGAATTAAAAAAATCCTAATTTATATCTACCTTTATGGCATCTTGTGCAGAACGAAAATAATAAGGATGGGAACGTAGTTGATCTTCCAAACGTAATAAACTTTTTTAAAAATTTTTTAAAATTAGTTAAAGTAAAATAGTAGGATATATTGCTTGTTTGAATGACTATCTACCTGACATATGCACGGAGAGTAACTTTACGAAGACAATATGTGTGAAAATCAAATTGATCATCGGTTATATCAAAAAAATGCTAAGTTATCAAATCCATTAATAAATAACTTTGTAAATGATATTAACACTTATTATGATCAAAATAAAACCAATTGCTTTAGTCGTGTATTGACCTTAAATGTGTATATTAAGAATATACCTTTTCAATTTGATGGAACCGTTTCAAAGCTTTACCTAATTTACTTCTTCTCATATAAGATTCTCCTTCTTCAAGTACAAACCACATACATTGCATATCAATAAGATCTGTTAATGGATCTGACGCATCACTCTTTAAAAAAAAATTTTTATTTATTACTACATTTGTAAAATAACGATAATTTTTTTATTAAAAAGAAAAATCATGATAATGATAAATACCCTGGTAAATAAACCAATTGTTTTTTCGGCCTCGTCTGTTTGATCAAATCTAAGCATGTATTTGACACATTTTGAATTAATGAACCTGTCTTGAAGATCAAGTTCACGAGCTTCATTCATAGTCTTCGTTGCTTCTAAGAGATCACCTCCATGCTAAATTTAAAAATATATACTATAGATTATTTCAGAGTTACAATATATGGAAATTGTCGCATATTAATTGAATCTTTTCAAACCTTAAGAATATGACCCTTGGTCATATATAGTTCAACTAAAGTAGGTGTATGATCAATTGCTTTATTGATAAATTTAAGAGCTTTTACCACATCACGTTTATAATCGTAATGTTGTGCAAGCAAATAAAGAGTCCAAAGATATGCTGTCGGAGGTTCTTGGATATCACTGGTAGTTCCATTCTGGGTAAAAGTGCCGTTATTATTTAAATTTTGATGATATCCTTCAATTAATTCCTCAATAATTTTTTCTTTTTGTAGATCAGTATAGAGCTTTTTAAGATTAACAAACAATGAAGGAACACCTTTTCGAAGAGCCGCTTGCATATATTCATCTATCATTGCTCTAAAAGTGTCACCTATCAATTTAAAATCAATCAAAAAAAAAAAAACAAAGTAATTAAGAATAAAGGTATAAATTTTTCGGATTATAAAAATTAACTAACCGATAGCATAACTCAAAGGAAAATGTTTAATCGCATTAGATTTTGGATATTTCTCAGCCAAATCTTTAAACAAATCCAAGATTTCTTTTCTTTGCTCGGGTGTTAAATCACCTGTAATGATTGATCATCTCATTATCAAGACATTGATGATGAACAATAATATTTTAGCATGAAATTTAATTGACATACATACTGATATTCAGCCCTTTAGAGATTAGTAACCCATCAAAATATGCATAGCAATCAGGATTATCATTAATCAAATCTCGATATGCTTCTGTTGCTTCTTGCAATTTACCCAACTTCAAAAGAAATTGTGCTATTAATAAAAATTTAATATATGTATATATACATATGATTAGTTGTTTAAAATCAAAAATATAAATTTTATTAATAATATACAAACCTCTTTTCTCCTTCCAAATTTGACGATCACAAATTTTATTTTTTATAGAATCTAGGTGAACCAATGCTGCTTCAAAATCGCCACTTTCCTCTATAATAAAATTATGATACAATAATATTTCACTACGTTCAAAATTCATTGGACTAGATGTTTCCTGTATTTTTTTTTAATACAAACAAATATTAATTAATGTATTGAAATGATGACTTTAAAAGAAAAAAAAATTTTTAAAGGAAAAAAAATACCCTTAATGTATCTTCATAGCTTTTCAAAACCTTTTCAGCTGTTTCATAATTCTCAAGTAAATGATAAGATATCGCCAAACCAAACCAATTTCTTTGATTATTTGGCCTTAAAGATAATAAATGATGTTTTGATTCCTTGATTAATTTCATTATTTTTTATATTATTTTTTCACTTATTAATATTACTTATAAATTGTTACAAAAAAATAAATAACACTATTATTAAAATTTTATCTCACATTATAAGCTTCATAATTCCGCATTTGAATTTGAAGAAGAGAATAATCTTGGAGAATCTGCATGTTATCCTATTTAAAAATAATTTAACTAATCTTATTTTTCATTATTATTTTTATTTAAAAAATTAAACAAAAACCTTATCAAATTTCAAAGCCCTTGTATAACATTTTAAGGCCTCGCCATAATTTTTATCAGATCGATGTAATAAACCATATACATGCCAACCTATCCAAATTAATTGTATTCAGAATCTCTTTTGACATATTAAATAAATTCTATAAAAATATTTTAAACTTATAATTACAAATATGACTATTCAGATCATATCTAATTCCTTTGCGCACAAAATCATGAGCTTCTTCTTTCCTATCCATATGATTAAGAAATAATCCCTTCATTGCCAATGTTTCTGTGATAATTTTTAATTCAAGAATAATTTACTTATCAACTACTAAGAATTATCAATCATTGTTTCTTTTTCCATATGGATATTCTGTTTGAGATGTCAATTATAATAGTAATGTAAATTAATAATACCCCCATGTTCCGGAAATTTTTTTAGTATTTGTTCGGCTGCCTTCAATCCTTTTTTATATTGTTTAAATTCATAGTATTTCTATATAAAAAAAATGTTGTTATTAAAACTCTAAAAGGGAATTTTTTAAATTATAATTAAATATAAAAAGAAATACTTGCTAAAATTTGCTTAAAAAGTGCGGACTCTTTGGAAGGTAATTCTCTCATTGTTTACATAAATCCAAGTGTAAAAGAATCACTCAAAAAAAGTTTTGATCAGTAAAAATTACACAAAAATTAGTGCACGTGAAATCTAAATCGGATAAAAATAAAATTTTTGCTGAAACAATTCAGTTTAAAAAAATTAAATAACATCAAAAACAAAAATATAGATCATTGTCAAATATCATGTAAATGAGATTTCTTTAAGCAATTTTGACAAAGATATTTATTTATTTATAAATAAAAAAATCTTTTGCAACACAGTCAATGTGTTGCCAAACCTGACAACCATCACATGCATCATCCGATTATTATTGATCTGTTGTTGTTAATATTAAATAATTTTACAGTTTTTTTTCAAGATTTTTTTTAATTAAAAAAATTATAATTTCAAAAAAAAAAACCAAAACAAAATTATAACAAAGAGAGTTTTCTTCCTTATCATTTTTTTATTACCTAATGTCATATAAAAAAAAATGCAAAAAAAAGTTATATATATAAGTGATTCATAACTTACAATATTTATGCCAGAAATACCACAAATACAATCAAAATACCAATCTTCATCATCATCATCTATATAATTGATTTGATAACTAGCCTGGTTATTGATTTGCTTATTATCTTGATCGTTAGTCTGGATGTTAGATAGTTTATTAAACAATTGATTATTAGCCTGATGATTATTTTGTATGTTAGGTTGTATATTGGCTTGTATATTGGCTTGAACATGATTGTTTTGTTGATTATCTTGTACACTGACTTGAAAACTATTCTTAATCCCAATTTGATTTGATTCATTTGTTAAAAAATTTTTATGCTTTTTTGATTCATGTTTCTCAAGATTTATTTCATCATCTAATTCTGCATATGTTCTCTTACGTATTTGATGAGGTGGTGTTTTTGTACCATTTACAACTTGTCTAGATTGGTCAATCTACAAATACAAACAATTTAAATAATTTTTTACATGTATTAAGTTATGTCCATATGGCAGAAAAACAAAAAATCTATTTTAATAAATAACAAACTCTTTGAATCGTGCTTATATTTGCTTCTCTTTTTTTCAATTCTTTTTCTTCTACAAGAGATTTTATTTCTTCCTCATCATCATCATCATCATCATCATCATCATCATCATAGTCTCCATAATCATCATCGTAGTCATCGTAATCCTCATAATATTCAGGATTAGTGAGAGTTGAATATTCGTGTTTGTTTGTTTCATTTCCACTCCTATGACAATTAATAATGTATTAATGAAAGTTCAACTATTGCATAATAATGATGATGATGAACATACTTGTCGCTAAATTCTTCCTCTTTTATATTGTACTTGCCACTAAACTCTTCCTCTTTTATATTGGTTTCAACAACAACTTTAGAATTTTTTGAAGCCTCTGCTTTCAGTAATGGTAGCAAATTTCTTGGCCTAATATTAACGCTACAACCCAATCATTTAGATTAATAAGTAAAAATCTCAACAATGTATATAAATATATAAATATGCAATTGATTGATTTACGTTAAATCATCATCATCAGCATAGCGATCATAATAATCTAGGGGTACATAATATCGATGTCCACGGCTTTAAAATATAATAATAATAATTAATTTACATATTCAAAAAGAGTTAATTAATCAATTGAATATTTCTTCCATACTTACAAAACTTGTGCAAATCTATATTCCTTATCAAATAATGCTCCTCTATTTGATGGTGGTGGTGATGGTGATGGTGGTTGTGGTGGTTTTGATAAAACATTACCCTGCTTATTATCAACAATGAAAGGATTTTGTAATAATTCCTTTATAATAGGTGAACCGATCACTTCAACAATTGGCTCAACTGTGTCATTTTGGGGCTTTTGATTGTTTTGACGAAGACTAGAAGAAAGTAAAATAATTTAATCTTAAAAAGTATATATAAGGTAAATAAACCCATTTTCTCTTTTTCATATTAAAAATTAGATAGTTAACTCTTCGTTTGTTGGAGTTAAAATGGAATGTTTATGATCGGGTGTAACCGTAACTTTTGAATTCATATTTTTTCAATATTTATATTATATAGTAGAATTATTACTATTTCGCGTTTTGAAGTTGATTGCTGAAACTAATATTAATAATTATTTACACTTCAATGTAAAATCCAACATATGACAGAAATCTAAAATTTCAATTGCGTGTAACCCTGTTTTTGCCACTTCAAAAAAGGAAATCCTTGTTTCACTAAATTCGACGCGTATTATTTATTATTATTATTTTAATTGAAAAATGTCAACGGAAACGGTGATTAAAAAAAATTTGATGATGAATATGAAGTGATAAATAACTGAATCAACAAATAATTTACCATCGTCCGTCTGTCAATCATTTTATTATTTATAATCTATAAAAAATATGTTTTATATGGCGTTTTGATTTAACCGGCTGTAATTTGAACAATCGAATATAAACTACTTTTTTTCGCACACAATTTAAGTATAGCAAGAGAATTTTTTTATTTATAATTTAATTAATATATATACAGTGTGTTGCAAAAAAAAAACCGGAATTATATAATTGGTTATTACAACAAAACGATCATCCCAAATGATACAAAAAATATCTCTTTTAAAAGCCTAAAAAATGTAGTTTTTATTAATAAAAAATTAATATGGTATATGTTCTCCATTATTTTGTATAATAAGCTCACATCAGCATTGCATAGAATTTACTAAATTAATTAGGACATTATGTGGAATACTTTGCCATTCATTAACCATAAATCATTCTAATTTTTCAAATTTTGTGGCTTCCTTTTCTCGACGTTTCTTTTAACAACACTCCACAGATTTTCTATCGGATTCAAATCTGGGCTGTTTTCTGCAAGAAAAGACATTGCAAGACGACTTGTATGCTTAGGGTCATTGTCTTGCTGGAACCTCCAAGCATTTCTTCTATTTCTGAAATATGTCTGCTAAGTATTTCCACATAAAATGACACATCCATAATTTGTTTAAAACAAAAAAGGTTTGTTTTGCCTTCTACACAAAAACCACCCCACATGTGAATTTTAGTACGATCCTTTAGCATCCTTCAAACTGGCCTTTTATCCTTATACCAATGTTCTACACTATTTCTAAATAATAAAAAGGATGTCTCATTGGTAAATAATGTTTTATTCCAATTGTCATTAAGATGTTGTTGGGCCCATTGTACACGGTTTTCTTTATGAAAAGTTTTCAACATTGGTGTAGCCATTGGCAGGGTTTTTTATACCTTTTTCGTGTATATGTCTAGAGATAGTTGAATAAGATACTTGCACATGTTTTACTGATAATTTTGTTGCCAATGTTCTAGTCGAAATTGATGAATCTCTGCGTATATATTGCCAAAGCTTTCAATGTTTCTGTGGTAATTTTTTTTGACAGCCATTTCCTCTAAAATGATCCAAATTGCCAGTTGTTTTTAATTTTTTATGTTATCATAGATGTTAGAAAGTGGAACTTTTGTATGCTTATTTATTTCTTTGGCCTCACATATACCATTTTTCCATAAATGTAATATAGCTTGACATTGGGTTTCTTGCCTTGAAGTAGGCATTGTATATTTAATTTTCTCAAAAAGCAAAAAAGATTATCAATTATATCAATTATAAAAGATCTCAATATTTATTTTTGAAATATAAGTTTGTCTTGATTTTTTATATGGCATGAATTAGGCTTAATTTAGTATTAGGGACGCTATACATGTTTTTAGTTCACATAAAATTTTCCGGTTTTTTTTCGCAACACACTGCATATCAAAATTAACGCTTGTGCTGTTACAATATGAAGTAAGCCATTCATAAAGAATGAAATCAGCTTCAGAGACTGGAAACGTTGAATTTGCCTCTTTAAACTACACCAGTAGATTAATAACAAATGCTAGTTTTTGCACCCTTTTCATAAATGCAAATTCTAAATTCCTACATCTTTGATGACTTCTTCTGCTTTCCTCTTTGGCTGTTGGAAAATCGAGAAAATCAAGAAGTTGCTCGATTTCGAAGGTATAATATCTATTTAAAAATTAACACTATTTAAAAAACTACAATAGTGTAATGTACTTGCCCTAAAATTCAAGTATTGTTTCTTATCGAGTTTCAAGTCACTGTAATTCCTTTCTTAATTTGCCTTTGGTTTTTCTTATAATCCTCATGCTCCTGGAATTGATCGGAGACTGCAACATAATTAATTATATTAGTCAAATAATTACTTGTTTGTTAGTTATTCCATGTACAGCACTACGTGCATCTAGAAGATGTCATACAAGAGACGAATCAATGGTTATTAACACTGCATATAGCTGGCGACGTTGTTCAGTATTCAATACGTTGGGTCAGAATCAAATAATGCAAGAAAAGTTGTTGATGTTAAAAGAATATTTATTACGAAAGATTGGGCATTTATCAAAAATAAATTAATAACAAGGTTTATTTTAGTAAGTATTATTCTATAGTTATTTTATGATATAGTTTATTTTACATTAATCATATATAATTTATGATTTAGTATTTAATTACAAAAATACTAATTTTAATATATATTCCTGAAAAAATGGTTAAACGAATTCTATGTGCTTGTGTTTGGTGTCAAATGGACAGTGTAAATTAGAAAACTCTATGAATGGCAAATCATATTAATGCGATAATATGTTCCTTTAATAATAATGCGAATCAAAAAAATCAGAAATAATTGGAAATTAAGGTATGTAGTAAAATGTTTGGCGTGAGTTATAAGTAATTTTTTTACTGTTTTACATGACCAGGTTATAATAGATAAAATTTTTATTAATAATGCGAGTTATAAGTGTAACCGATAGCGGTCACATTCAAAAACATATTTAACTACTAATTATGAATTATTTTTATATAATCATCGATTTGATCGAACTTTGACTATTACTATCTATTAAACTTAGGTGAGAATGTGTATGGCGAAGACTACATTTTTTATATTTAACTATTAATTATAATCACATTCTTTAGTATTTTGGAATAATTATTTCTGATGATGATAATACTGTTTCTTATATTCTTTACGTTAAAAAAAATCCGTTTATCAATTAATATTTATTAAAAACCGTAAAAACCAGAATCACTGCTTAAAACAACTGCCCTTACTATTACGTTAAAAATCCGTTTATTACTTCAATTAAAACCATAAAAACCGGAATCGTTATTTTAAACAGCTATCCTTTACGTTAGAAAAGTCCGCTTATTATTACTACTTCAATTAAAAACAGAAAAACGGAATCTGTTATTTAAAACAAACGTTTTTTACGTTGTCCATTTATCATGGAATAAGCTATTTTCCAAATGCATTTCCCGTACATTTTATCGAAAATAAAAACGTATTTCATTAAAGAATCATCTCTATTTTTTTCAGAAATAAATTTTTTACGGACATCGTGCGCTAATTGTTTTTATTTCCAATTCTGTACTTAGAGCAACTAGATGTTACAATTCCACGACATTAATCTTTCCTCGAATATCATTTATTCAATTCTTTAGAAATGTATGTATGAGGTTTTTGGTCCCAAATAAATAAACCAATCAGGTTAAAAATCAAAAGAAACAAGAGGAGAGTTTTTGGTGCCTTTTTTTTGATTTGGAGAAAATGAAGGATATCTACTGGTATCATGGCTTCGGATTTTGCCAATATATCAGCATGTTGATAAATATACACACCATATCACTGGTAAAATCATTTCAAATGGATCTTATCGAACTGGACAAGCCAATATAATGATAGAAAAAACTTTTTCGATCATTCTTGAATTGGATGAAAGAATATAAAAGACTAAGTGTGAAATTGAAGGGTTTCTGATGCTGTAAATATTGGAAAGGATCTGAAAAATGCTCGCAGCAAGAGAAAAAAATCAATCCAAGGCAAACCGAAATCACAAAAATCAAAATTCAATAATGACATTACAACTAAACAACAAGCCTACCAGGATTTGCAAGAGAAATGCAAGCAAATTTTATACAAAAGAAGCACTCCTTAGGCAATATTGGAATAATATTCACAAGGGTGTCAAAGCTAAAGGGAAAGAAGAAAACAAAAATGCTGAAGAAAAAGAAAAGAAAAAACCCATAGAGAAATCACAAACCAAACTCACCATTTCATCACAATCACAACCTCAATCATTATCAACTAACTGTCTCACAACTTGATGGATATTGCACCAACTGTAAAACCATCATATTTCTTGCTCTCTCCAATCTTCATATTCTCATCCTCTTTAATGTCCAAAATCACAATCATTTATCCTGCCAGTTGTGTTGATTGGTACAGTTGGTACAGAATTAATTCTCATATAAAGGGGCATGCTCGTAGAGGTAGTGGTGAAATGAGGGAGCAGCATATAGAAGGCATTGCACTTTTGGAATGACTAATAAATATCAATACTCACAAAACTTGTGAGTGGTGTTTTCAACAGACTAAACTTGCACGATTATCAATGGCAAGATCACTAGTGTCAAAGTACATGGTGCTGTTGAGTGTATCAACCCATCATGCATTTCATTTAAATATAGTTACACTATAAAGCCTCTAGATTCTCCTCATTCAGAAACTACCATTGCTATTGCTCATGTATCAAGATTTCTCTCAACTTCTCATTCCACTTTACCACCCTTCTCAAAAACCTATACACATACACGAATCATTAACACGAGTCAATATATATTGGAAAGCATTGCTTCAACACTCAATATCGAAAGGAGTCTCTTCTAATCAGAGAGATTTAACAAAGTAGTTGATAATTGATTAATTTGCCACTTGTTAAATAGTTATCTTTATTATTATATTAAACATAAGCAGAACATTATTATAATAAATTAGTTTGATTATAATTTTTTGTCCGGTATGGCATGCAAGCAAAAGTTTGAAGTGTTAACTTGTTAGCAAAATGGAACCAATGTAATTTTATTCATGTTCATTCATATTCATATATTAATATATAAATATTTTAGGACAATGATTGTGATAAATGATGATTATAAAAATATATGGATCAGGACTAATTGGATAAGGATTGTGAATAAGTCAGAAGGAATTTACCTAAAAAATATAAAAATATAAATGAAAGACTTGAATTAAAAATAAAAATAAATACAAAACATCAATTTAAAAATATTAAAAAGTTTACAATTAATAAGCACTCATGATCCAATAGGTCGACCTCTTTTTCGTTTTTTTACTTGATTCATTGTACTCATACAATGTTCGCAATACCATCTTCCTTCTGGTACTGCTTTAAGATCAACACAATCCAAATGAAACCATTCAATAGGACAATTCTAAAATATAAATATTGGTATAAAAGTAAGTGAACTGTAATAATAAAATTTTAAGGTATATTGATTTTTTTTACATACTTCACCATCACATCCAATCATTTCACCAAAGCTAACTTGTCGACAAATACAATATACAGGTTCATTAGGGTCAACAGTTTGTATATAATTTGATGAAAATGTGTTGCCATCAGAAATAAACGAAGAATCATATGTTTGTAAATTTAAATTATTGTTATTGATGATATTAAAAATATTACTATTATTAATATTGGAATTGGGGTTGAGACTATTAAGATTAATGTTTCTATCAGGAGAAATCATTGAAGATGATCCTGTTGAATTTAAATGATGAAAATGATTTTTATCACCATCAGAACATTGTATTTTAATAAATTGTGGAAAGCTGTTATTATTGTTATAATCATTAATAGTGGTGTTGAAAGTGGAAGAAGAAGAAGCAGCAGTAATGGGGGAATTCATGGAAGTAGTTGTATTAGTTGTAGAAGTGGTGATTGAGTTAATGTTATTTGTATAGATTGAGATGGTATCTTGGTTATTATTGCTATTTACCCCCCAAAAAACATTATCAATATATATAATATATTTAATAATAATAAATTTTTTAAATAAAATTTTCTATAAATTACAAACATTTGCCTTCTACGTCGTGGTAATGGTTGATTAGGTGACATAGACAAATTCCTTCGATTTAACCCTATCGAATTTTCATATTATCATGATTATTAGGCAATATGGTTAACAAGAAATAATCAAATAATTTTTTCATTCAGTTATCATTTAAGATAATAGTAATGTAATTATTATTACCTCTGCCAATTTGTGCTGTAGAGCTAGAGGGATTTGGTAATAATGGTAATGCTATAGCATAACGTCAATTAGTTTCTAATAATCATTATCAAATTATGTTTATGTAATTACATTATTATTAAGAAAAAGAAGAGAATAAGAACATACAAAATTCTCCTTCTTCTGATTTCATGGAAGGATAATATATTCCATTATTATAGTCATAAGTATTAATGTTAGAGTGTCTAGATATTGATGATGACAAAAATGATGTTGTAGGAAAAGAAGCAATTGTTGATGTTGTTGATTTTATACTTGTATTTGATGGCTGAACAATTGTTTTGTTATCTACTTGAGATGACAATGATATTATATTTACATTTTGAGGAGATGTGTTTAATGATTCAAATGTTGATTCAAAATTTGATAAACAATCACGAAGATTATGTTGAGGAAATAAGCTATCAAGATCTTCATCAAAATGTTTAATATATCTTTCAACCTATAAATAACACAACGCTATTATCATTTAACCAAGAAAGAATAAAAGGATAGACAAATCTTACACATACTAATGCCAAAGCTTTATCTGTAATTTCAATTTTTTCATCTTGCAATTGTGATACTCTTATGTAATCATTCATAACCTTTTCTTTTAACATTTCTTCGTCTTCAAACTCTGTTATAACTTTAACAACT